ATCCTTTCACCCAGACACTTCGAGGACCTGGGTGGGTGGAGTGCCTTGGAAAGACATGCTCATCTATATTGTTGTAAGTTCACCTGCTGCTCTGGCCACATTCCCAAACCTCAGATGCAGCAGGAGACACTCAAAGAGATGCTACATGCCAAGAACCCTGCGCTCATTCCTGCAGCAATGCAGTGGTCCAAGGCATTCCTAACTTCCAAAATACACTTCTGCCCCATAGTACTTTACCTAATGCCACTGTTAAAAGTCTGAAAATGTCTGCACCACTCACAACAGGATCTCCTGCTCTGTATAAGGCTGACTCTTCACTTCAGTGAGCCTCTGGTCACTCTGCATGCTACAGCAGGAAAGAAGCCTGACATCTCCCCAGTAACTTTAACCCTTCTGCACTTCATTTGTTCCCCATCCGTCCACCTTGGGAACAGGTTAGGATTTGGGTACAGGACAGTGCTTAAACACTCGCTTATCTTCAGGCACACAAGAAACTGCATAGTTCAGCTGGATTACTCATACACTTGAATTTCAAACTTACTATGCAGAAGGTTCACCAAGACCTCCTTAAATGGCAAAGATGCAATGCTGTGTTTTCCAAGCTCAGCTCTGCATCCCAAGGAACTCGAAAAAAAGTGGATTCTCTGAAAAAGCACCGAAGTGAAACTGTGCTAAGGAAGGCATAATTCTCATTCTACAAAAAAAAAAAAAAAAATAGCCTGCAGGATCAGAAGTGATGAATAAGATTTAAAAGAAGCTTCAACTACCTCACCACATTTCAGTTCCAACACCATTAAGCTGCTCTAGCCTCCAAATGCCAGAGGTAAAGGCCAGCTTCCACACTAAGCTCGGTATTTTAATACTCACACAAGGTAAGTATAAGCTTTGCCCTCCACTCAAGGATAATGATGATAATGTGTAAGAGGCAGGTACAGCAGAAAATACAGAAGATAAGCATAAATGCAAGGAACAGTTCAAAGTAAACTCCAGAGTTGAGCAGAAAGGATGTCAACTTCAGTCTGTAATTGCAAACAATTCTTCCCAACCATTTCTTTGCTTTATTAGCAGTTCTGACTGCACACTTAAGAGAACAACCCTGGTCTAACTCCTTTTTACTCCATTATTTCAATGTCAAGGATGATATGAGACAGCTAGTTTCATGCCTCTCCAAGCCTCAGTGTCCCATCAGTAAAATGGCAAGAATAATTTTCCTTCACATTAGGAAGGCACTACAAAAATAGTTCCTCCAACTTCCAAAATGCTCCAATGAAAGAGCAAAGAGCACTCCAGAAAATCACAAAAGAAAATTAATTATTCTGCATTCTGTCTCGAGTTTGAACAGTACATGGTAAATAAGGCTTGAGGCCACACACTGCACAAAGAGAAAAGCAACTGAAGAGCTGCTCGTTAAGTATCACCTTCCACTCTGGACACAAAGAGTAGGTGCTCTGGCAATTAAGTGGCCATATCATAATACCTGTTGGCAGTGGAGGCTGAAATTAAGGTTTCAACAACCTTCATTCTGGTATTTCATTGCTTCGGAGCACTTGGACTTTGCAACTTTAACGCCAAAGTTAAACACTTTGTAATAAAGTAATAAACACTTCTATTAACAAAGTTCACAGCATGCAATTAACTACAGGTTTGCCACGTGGCTGCCACAATCACTATCCATTTTTTCTGGGGATATCCAGATTACAGGCTTGTCTTGGCCACACTAATATTTTGAGGTATCTCTCGAGATTTGCCCAAAGCCACAATAAGTAAATCAAGCCTCTATCTCAAACAATGAGGTGTGTTAAATCCAAGCCAGCCGATGTCCTTCAGCAAAGAGCTGGAACAGGAACTCCACTGACACCCAGGCTAGTGAGGCAGTGATAATGCAGCAGCTGGAGCTACAACCACTTATCAGCTGCTAATTCAATCACTCTCCCAACCCAGCCGCTGCTGCCTGCACTGTCTGGGAGACTCCTTGCTTTCATTCATGCCTCACTAAGTGGAGTAATTCAAATCTGTTAAGGTGAGGTAATGAACTGCTGAAACAGAGAGCTCCTTAGGGTATGTGCTGTGTGCACGTTGAAAATGCACATGCACATTACGGACACAGAAAACATCTCAGCTGGGGTACAGCCACCACAGCCACGCCACAGGAGCACCTGCAAGTCACCTGTAACAACACCCCAGCATTCTCCATCCAAAGACCAGACCTCGGCAACCTGAGTTCCATGCAGCAGCCACACCGCTGTAAAAGCCCTACAGGAGATACTTAAACATAACAGAGACAAATTTAAGGTAAGGTTTGAAGCTGGACCATTTCTACCCCACGACACAGTGCAACCCTACTCACCCCATGGGGCTCCACAGATCCTTTTTCAAGGCCTGTGGGACAACCTGTCTATTCAGTCTCCTCTATCCCACCTGTCTGGGCTGGTCTCACAATTGAGCAGCTGGGTCCTGGCTCCTCACAGTATTCCAGCCCCACAGCCCTGACACAGGCTCTCCATGTGAGAAAAGATCAGGAGCAGAGGGAGAACAGAAGATGACTGCAGCTCCCCACAATGAGATCAACTGGCCAAAACAAATAAAAAAATAAAGAAAGGAGAGGGTAGTTGCAAATTGGTGCATAAACAAGACCTGACTGTGCAATTCAGAGCAAACAGGGCAGTTTACTAAATGTTAATTAAATCCTTAGTGCCTGTTACTCCAGTCATGGAGATCAACTTATTTTTAAATTAAATAAGCAGTAAATGCTTAGATGAACTTCTATTAAATTTCACCCATTGAGTGAAGTATGTGGGGCTTTTAATAGACATTAAACAAGATAGTTATGGCAAGTTAGCTGATATTTTATTACCTGAAGATAATGGCCATATTAAATCTCAACTAACTATTCCACTGGCAGCACAGTCATCTAAGATTTGGTGTAAGTTTTCCTGCCTTGAAGCATCACTGAGCAGGGGGAGGAAGGCAGCTGAACACTGAATGACATCTACTTAGAGGGTGCTCATATGCATAAACTCTCTTAAACACAAGACAGGATCCCTCCCAGCCAGATTTGCAAACCCCAAAGAGGGTTGATGAGCTATTACCCAGCAACAAAACTGGAATAAGCCTCATGAATTTCTCCCTGCCCCCAAACCAGCCTAAGTAATTTATGGGTTTGTTGAGGAATCACAGAATTCCAAGGTTCCCTTATGCCATCAAGGGCAACAGAAAACATTCTAACAGCCTGCAACACTCAAAAGCTTATAACTTTGTCTAAGAAAAGGTTATCAGCAGCCCACAACTCCACCGATGTTTGTTTTCCTTCCCTGAGCATATTGTGATAGTTTGGAAGTTCTTCTGACTCACACGTGTGTGTCACTGTCACCCACAGATCCCAACAACAGATACTGACAGATAGAGACTTGCTGACAGTGACTTAAAAATTATCATTTCCATGCCAGCTCTTGCAGTTGCTCAGAACCTGATTGAAACCAGCTCTTGGAGATCAAAACAGGATCTCCACTGAGTTGTCTCTACCAATAACCTTAATTGCAATGATTAAGTGTGGGTAACAGGTTTTAGTTTTTTTTCATGTTTGGACTGGAAAACATCACCAGTCCTACATGGCCTGCCATGCCCAGGAGCAGGATGAATGAAAAGAACCAACCCTGCTAAACTCTCCTTCTTAGGCAGGCATGAGCTCTCAAAAGCTTTAATGTTTTGTGGGGTTTTTTCCTGGTCTGTGGTTTTCGGTTAGATTTGCTGTTTTCTTTTCTCTGTTTGTTTCTATCTTGCAAAACAAAGAGCTTTGTAAATCAGAAAGAGGAAAACACTGAGTTCTTCAAACATTACTGATGCTCTCCTCCAGCACCCAATGCACACATGGACACCAAACACAAGATCTTCTCTCCAATCCCTCCTCTGGAACCCTTGTTTGTAAAGTTATTTCAAGTGTTTTCCTATGTATGACCCATGCTCTTTAAAGGCACTTGTGCACCTGTGCATCAGGTAACCCACATCCCTTTTATAAGTTATGGTTTCCATCTCCTTTGCTCCTTCTTCCTCTGTTCTGGCTGCAATTGCAGTAATCTCTCTAGTTTTTCACAGAATTACACTGCTACAAGAGTGAGAGCAAAGGGAGATGAGGAAGCTACTGGGGTGAAAAGACTGGCTGTGGAGGACCTTGTCTTGCAGACAGGAGCATCACTGTCAAATTCTCATGTGGACACAGCGAACACAAATGATGAATCACAGACTTCTGCTGGGTCACACAGACTTGGTATTCGTCTTACTTCTCTGAAGGTTTCTCCCCATCAAAAACAAAGTAGCTAAAGAGCACACACATACCTAAAGAATATATAAAATATCCTGATTTGGAAGGGACCTGCTCTTGGCCAGTGTATCATCCTGATGCCATCTTAAGACCTCTCCACGCATTCCCAGGGACTTAGCTCCACCTCAGCAGGGCTACCACAGAGCACACCAGAGCCTGGACAATCAGATAAATGTGAAACCCAGCATCTGAGCCAGATTCAGAGCATGCAAGTGTTTCTCAAAGCCATGTCAGGGAGAGAAGAACTCAGTAGGAGAAAGACAGAGCTATGTGGGTCAGGTTTTCAGAAGCTTGAGGAGCAACAAAATGAGGAACCACTGAGGATGTATCATTCACACAACCATGATGGGCAGAGCAATAGAGAAACCACTGCAGGCACCCTGAGGGTATTTGTTTCCACAGACACACGGAAACTGTGCTCTTGAAACAATTTGTCATCCACCCAAGCTACTGCTTTTCTCTATCTGTGTTTATCTAGCGTCAGCCAAAGATGCTTCATGGAAACCTACATGAAACTGTTTCTTCTTTCCAATCAGACGTTTATGATACAATGGGCGCCACCCCAGGCTGGGACAACTCTGAATGTACCTGACACTCATACAGCCATCCCATCTTCTTTTCAGACTTGGCTAAACTCTTGCTCTCAGCAACATTCTGCATTATAAATGCCACCATTACTTACACTGAAAAGCACCTAACTTTCTGCGCTTTGAATCCACCAGGTTCACCTTTGATTTCATTTGTACAAAGGAATAGACATCCCTTTTCCACAATACTCGCTGCTCCTCTGACACCTAACATTGTAAGACAAGAAGGGGGAGATAGACCAAGCCAGTAAGCAGCAAAGTTTTCAACAATAAACCTTTATCCCCGGACATGCATATTTCCCAAGGGAAATCCCAGAGTATTATTTAGCCTTATGTGGGTCAGTCCTCCTTCAGCAAGGGTGGGTATAATTGGAAAGTCATCCAAATCCCTAAACTGTGCTGCACAAAGAACACAGCCACATTACTAACAGAGATGAAATGCTGCATCCTCTTCTCCAGCTCTGCATGGTCCCATATTTTCCTAATATCCCATTTCTCCAATTACTTGGTGAACCAGCAGCTGCTGTATCACCCAGCTCCCAGGCACTCCCCACTCTCAGATCTTGCCCCAGAAATCATTCCTGTAATGTATAAGCACAAACTCTACAGGTAAATAAGTTCATGGAAGCAAAGAAATCCTGAAATGTGTCCAAGAACACTTGTGACTTCTATGTGAGACCTTCCTTTTTCGCATGGGTCAAAACCCCTTTGTGCAGAGGGACCAAGGTGCTCCAGATGTGCAGGGACACATCAGCAACTTTGATGGCTCCTGCAAGCTCCTTAGACTTTTGTGTACCAACTGCCTAGCAAAACAGAAAGAAACTGACAAGAAACTAACACAAGAACAACACAACTGGGCTAAAAAGTCAATTCCTACAGGTGTAGGAAAAAAGAAACAAACAAAAAATAATCAAAACAAAGCAGGAGAATCCAAGTCTCGTTTGTTTCACCGGCAGGGCCAAGCTGCACCTCGAGATACAGGCAGCGGAGCAATTAGGCAGGAGTTGCTTCATCAACGCCTCCTCGGGAGCACTGCCGGCTTCCCAGCACAGCCCCGGGGCGCGGGGAGTGCTCCTGAGCAATGGCAGGAATAAGGTTTGCCTGTTCAAAAGAGGAGAGCAAGAAAGGGGGAGGGAAAAAACACCAAAAAAAA